CCCGCCTACGCGTGGATATAAAGAACGTCGAAAACGGAGCTCGTATGCGAAGATACGAATTTTAGAAGTTGAATGTGCAATTTGCGAATTCTGTTGCGAGATCGATGACGTGGCTGAATTCCAGTCGTTCGATGATGATCAGGGCTCGCTTCGGATTGCGACACGTCGCCTCGCACTACGCCCCGCGTTAGAAACCAGGTACGCCCAGCGTACTTCGGTCTTATGTGGTTCCGAGACAAGCCACGTCGCACCACCCGGAGACCACCACCTGGCAGCCTTATCCGAAGAACGCCCAGCGTACGTCCGAAGTCTGGGCTATAAATAGAGGCCGAGGGCAGCCTCTTTTCTTCACCAATTCACTCAACTCTTTCTCTCTCTACACTCGCTCACTACCTCCCTAACCCCCCCCCCCCACCTAAGCCTAGGTAAACCCCCTAGCACCCGAAGGAAGCCCCGAGGCTCCCGGAGTCCCAAGAAAAAGGGTCTTTCGGTTCAGAAACGCTGGTTTTCGAGAAAACCCGCTGTAAGTGAGCTACGCCTACGCTATTTTTAATATAGCTTCTAATTAATTATAGTAACATTATTAGGACCTTAAAATAATTATTTGACTATTATTATGAGTTATATAGAGTGTTGTTTAACGCTTATATAATAATAATAATAATAGCTAGACTATTAATTATTCGCGGTTAACGTTAGACTAAACCCTAGTGGTATTGATACTAGGTTTTGTCAAGGGAAAATTGTTTTGAGATAACGAAGTGTTGTCCGAGTACGGAATCACCACCTAATCAAGTGACTGCATAGTCCCTTTCATCTTACACATAGATATGAAGTATTTAATATAAATTACGTGCTATGTGTGCATATTGTCTGTATACTTGCCGTCTGTGCTGGGTGAAAGATTTTTATACATGTTTTAAATGATTTAAATTGTATATGTATTTTATATGTACAAAATGTGTTGGGTAAAACATGGGTAGATGAAATAGTTGCTGTGTGACAAAAACAAAATGATGAGAGGTGATATAGACCATGAGATAAGGGTGAGAGGTAAACCATAAGAGAAGCCTTTTACCCATGTGTTGGCCCCGTCATTCAGCAGAGTATGGATGACAACCACGGACTATTCTAGACAGTCCAGTGGACACTAGCAGGCTCGCAACCTGTAGGTGTTTTGAACTGTGTGCTCACCAGTTGTACTCTAAAAAAATCCCTTGACATGTGTTGTGAGAGGAGTCTCGGAAACGACATTGTCGATAGACGAGATTAACGCTGGCGACAATGCAACGTAGTGCCTAAACCCCTTGACATGTGTTGTGAGAGGAGTCTCGGAATCGATAAAAGAGAATAACCCTGGCGACTATGAGACTTAGTGCCTATTGAGTAAACCATGGAAACGATGGACTTCATGCCGATTCCTTAGGATGATCCTTAGGAAGGAATGAACGAGGAATAGTTGATTCTTAGGGTAGATCCTTAAGATTAAAGAAGATAATGGGGATGGGTAATTGGGTTGATTGTTTTATGTTTAAACATAATAATTATATTATTGTGGGTTGAAAACCCTATGTACTCACCAGGTTTCCCAACCTGACCCACTCCAGCTTATTTCTATCACATGTGTCGATATGAAGTTACATTACACTGAGAGATTTAAAAGAGATGTAGATCACTAGTGTAAATGAATGTAAGTTCTGTTTATGCTTATGTTTCTGTATTGACGATGACATCCCAAATGTTTTAAAAATGAATAAAAATCCATTTCTTCGGAATGCTTTGATAACGTATTTATCATGTTTTACTGGGAACAAATTCCGCAACATTTTTATTAAAAGAAGTACTCTGATTTTTATAAAGCATAAACAAAATCGGTCTTTTCTGGCCGTGAAAATGGGGATGTCACATTTTCTAAAAAACCGGGTTTCACGCGGGCAGAGTTTCGACTCGAAAAACTCTTTTCTCGAGATCTTCGGGCTCTCTGGGGCTTGCTTACGAAGCTAGGATGATATTCTAGGCTTGGGGGTATTTAGGATAGCTTGAAATGAAGTAGGGGTGTAAAAGTGTCAATTTAGCAACCATAAATCGGGCAGCCTCGCACCCTATTTATAGTATCCGAAGCACCTAATTATGCTGGGCGTAATTCCTGGTACGCGGGGCGTACTGCCTTGCAAGGCTCTTCGCTGGGCGTACGAAGGGATCAGCTCAGACGTGTCAAGGCTACGAACACGTGTGCAACATGCGAAGGAGTAGGCGACGTGGCCAACCTCGGACCGTGTACACACACGAGTACGCTGGGCGTACTCCGATTTTTCAAACTTCAAAAATTCGTAACTTTTGCATACGAGCTCCGTTTTTGACGTTGTTTATATCCACGCGTAGTTGAGACCGTGCTCTACAGCTTTCATTTAGACTCCATCGGCTAACTTTGACTTTATTTTTAAAGTTATATTTTTAACAGGTCGGGACAGGAAAAGTCCGTTAAAAATTCATAACATCTTCATCCGACATCCGTTTTCGTCTTTCTTTTTACCGTTAAACTACTATCAACGAGATCTTCGATTCTCGTTTAGGTTGTGTCGGCTAAAAATCGCTCGATCTATATTTCGAATTCCGGGTTGCATACTGATATGCCAAATCTTAGAAAATTCATAACTTCCTCATACAAAGTCAGATTTGGACATTCTTTTTATGCACACTCTCGGTTTAACGTGTACTATGACTTTCATTTAGATTGCTAGGCTAAAAAGAACTTTATTGTAAACTCACTTTTTACGTCACACAGCGTCGTGTCGGTTCTGTCGCGAAACTTCGACAGGTCATAACTTCTTCGTTATAACTCGCATTTCGTTATTCTTTATATCTCTGTAATCCTTGTTTCGACCACTACAACTTTCTTCATAGATATAAGATTTATCTAACATTTATTTTCGACGTTTATTTTTATCCTTAACTTATTAAATCATAATAATTAAGTATAAAACACATAATACTCAAATAATACATCTTATTATTTCAAAACAAATTACAAAGGTTGGCCTAGACTATTACATCATCATTAATGTCTAGCCTAGAAACACGGACGTTACAGGTTTCAAGTCCATAAGGATGCTTATATAGTGTCCAACCCCTAAAATTATGGTTTTCATTAATCATTGTGTACGCCCCGTGTACGCATCCGGGACTCCGATCACACTCTCGCATGAGTAAGCTAAGCGTACCACTAGGTACTCCCCGCGTACTCTCTTCATCACTTGTACGCCAAGCGTACCTTGTTGTACGCCCCGCGTATAACTCAAGGGTAAAAAATAGGACAATTAAAATATGTAATGTCAAAAGAGGAACTTAGTGAGATTCAATCGTTACAGGGATACCCCATGGCACAAGAGGGAGTATCTTGGCGAAATAAGGATTGTCATTGGCGCAACAAGATCCTTATTGGCCCAAGTCTTCAGCAGATGGCGCAACAAGGTCCCCTTGTTGCTCAATATCACTCCCAAGTGCTCCAAACATCTTCCAGTTGCTCCAAAACCCCTTCCGTATGATCCGTTCCTTTGGCACTTGATCCATTCCTTTGTCAGACGATCTATTCCCTTCTCAGATGATATGTTCCTTTGTCACATGCTCCATGAACCTCAAGTGCTCCATTGAGTTCCAAGTGCTCCAAATGCTCCATGAACATGATCCAAATGCTCCATGTTGGACAAGACTTCATACCCCAACACTAGTAGTAATTGATGCGATCTGCCCATGAAGAGTATTCGCTTGGTACAAGGATATGTGCACGATTTCCTACGCCAAGGGCTATTTGCAACTGAAACTGAGTACAAAACATTTTGGTTTTGATTCACACTTTCCATTGAGAACAAGTGATACTAGATTCAAACATGAAAGAAGAAATATTTTTGTGAAAAGTTTTCTAAGTCTCAAATTCGATCACACGAGCTTTGCTACCAAACATTTTGATATACACTTTCCATTGAGAACAAATGATACTAGATTTAAACATGAAAGAAAAATATTTTTGTGAAAAAATTTCTAAGTCTCAAAGTCGATCAGATGAGCTCTGATACCAACTGAAGAAATGAGAAAAACTAGTGAACCTAAACTTGAAAAGTCTAAGTGTTGAAAAACTTAAATGGAGTTTCAGAATCGTAAAGTGACAAGTAATGCATAAATAAAAGAGTTGTGAATCAACCAAATGTATGATAAACAAAATTGTGTATGCTCAATGTCAATGATTTAAAAGTGTCTCATATTCATATTCATAAATATTTGATTACAAATGTTTGAAATAATGAATACATAGAGTAAGAAACACTCAAAAAGCTCTCTAGAAATCATGAACTAGTCTAAGAAGAAATTGAGCAGAATGAGCAGGAATAACAAGAATTGAACCACTTTATAATGGAGCCCAAGGGGCCTATTTATAGGCTTTGGAAAAACCCATGACATGGCTTGACCAATCAGGTGTTAACACATCATCATGACTGGGTCATCAATTGACACCTTGCCCTACTTAACGGAGAATGGATGGAATATTCCAATTTTGTTAGCATTTCGTTAGGGTTTCATCCAAGTCGTTAGTCTTGAGTTCTCTTGAGCATTCTTGATCAATATTGAGAGTGCGATGAGCATCATTAAGTGACATTGTCTTTTAAAAGTGCCATTAACTTCTAGGAGTGCCATTAACGTCAAGGAGTGTCATTGGCGTCTAAGAGTGTCATTGATTTCTAGGAAGTCATTGATGTCTAAGAGCGCCATTAACCATGAGAAGTTGCTTGTTTAGTGCAAGGACGTTTTTTGTACTTGAAGATGTGCAAACACAAATGTGCCATAGATGTTTAGGATGTGCCATTGAGGCCTTGGATGTATCATCATTATACATGATGTTTCATGTATGTTCCTGATGTGCCACATATGATCGGATGTGCTCCATGTAAATAGAAAAAGGTGCAACATTTGATTCTTCAGCACTTGGTGAATCTTCAGGATCTCCATTACCTGAAACGTTTTGATAATATTTATTAGAAAATATAAATCAATACTCAACCTATTTCTAATGACAATCACACCAAAATATTTCCAACATAAATAAATGTATTTAGTGAGTAGAAGAGAGAATCATAATGGTAAATTAAAACTTTAATAAGAAAACTATGAAAATCATTAATATAGAAACTATACTAATCTAACACTATCTAATAGTATCTAATACAAACTACAGTTAGGTTTGAAGTTGTTTTTTAGTTTTGAAATTGTTTTGACTTTCGAACTTTTCTTGGTGATGAGTTTTGAATTTCTTTTTAGACGAATTTTAAACTTTTGTGTTATAAATATATATTGAAATAATATAAAAATATATTTTTCATTGAAATAACAACAAAAAAAATGATAAATTTATAATAATGATACGAGAAGAACGAATGATGTGAGAAAGAAATAGATAGACAATCAACATCAAGAAAATTCATGAAAACATGGAGTTCGAAGCACCAATTTAATTTGAAAATATTAAATTTCCAAACATGGTTTCACATTTGTGCACAACTCACAAAAACTTGTTCACATTACCAATGAAGCCATGTCATCAACTTCTTTCACACTTTCCAGTTTACAAGAAAATGTGACCCCACCAACTATTTTTTTCTATTCACAATATATTAAGATAAAATTAAGTTTTTATTTTGAAAATTAGTTTATAAGGTATTTTATGGATAAATTATCTTAGGTTGACTTATTAATAACCTATAAATTATAATAAATAATTTTATTATTTTATCACACTACATTAAAATAAACTATCTTAGTTTTGCGAAATCGGACTTAACTTTTTTTTTTTCTCTCATTTTCTAATGTCTATACAAAATATATATGCTTATATAATAACTGTATTTAATCTTCTATTAAGATGGTAGGTGCACACATTTCACACCCCCCCTCTTCTTCTTTTTTTTCTTTTTTTCTTTTCTATGTGATGTCAATTTCCATTCAATCTGTTTTCACTTTTTAAAACCAAAAATTATCATCTTTTATTTTTCTTTATTATTATTTTTTTTAAATTATATTTTATATCAATATTATACTTTTTTTTAAGAATTAAAAACTATAAATTTTATTATATTATTTATAATTTTTTAGCATATATGTTAATTTAATTAAATATTTGAAAAAGTAAAAGAAAAAGAAAAAAACAACATTTTTTAGCTTTGACCAATCAAAAGATGAGGGAGAATACGATAACCGACCACCGCACCATCCTACCCCGCACCCTAAACCGCACCTAAAATGTGGTGCTCCTCAGTACGTTTCTGACCACCTTTTACCAAAACCGCATGTACACCCTCCAGCCTAAATTACATACTAATCAATAGGTCTAGATATTTTAAGTTTTAACAATTGACAAATACAATTACATTAATGATTATAGATTATTTAATTATGATCTCTATATATTTGTAATATGTACAATATGGGATTTATACGAAAAGCACCTTGCTATATTTACTTAAAAAAAAACATTGCATATCATCTAAGTGTAGAAATTTTCATATAATTTTTAATTAATTGAATAATCAACTAATATCTAATTATTTATATTTGATAAAGTATTTCCAATTATATAATTAAAAATATGTATATACTAGTAATTTATATATATTATATATAGATGCAGGCCATATTTGAAAGAGTTTTAAATTTTATACTTAACCTATGGTATAACTGTAATAACCTATTGTTATCTGTTATGGTTTCTATGGTGCATGTGAAAAGCAAGGAACCCCATTTTGTTTAACGCAACTCAAGTGAACCCTTCAAAGTTGGCGGATAATGTGATTTCTATGGTGTTTAGTTGGTTGAAATATAGGGATAATTTTGGAAATCGCAGATGGAAATGTTAGGTTTGTTCCCTTTTAACATTTTGTAAGTTTGTCTTATTGTTTCTTTTGTGCCCGGTCTATTTCCTATAGGTCGTGATTTTAATAATATCTGCCGGTTCCAAAAAAAAAATAGTGACACAGTTGGAAGACCAATAACTTTCTACTGATATAGATGTTTTATTTATTTTTTTTAAAAAAAAATTATCCTATTTATGAAAGTCGGTTATTTTTTATTATCAATTTTTTTAACATCTCTTAAATTTATCTACATCTAAAATGGTAAAACGGGAAGGGCCTCTATCGACTTTTTTCGAATCAGTTCTTTTATGTAGGTGTACTCTTTTCTCAAAAAGTCTAATTTTTACCTGAACTTGTTACATTATGTGAAAAAAAAAATCGTACATATTCTATGAAAAATAAAAGTAAAAAATCGTTGAAAATATAATATTTTTATTAAAGGATAATAAGAAAACCTGGAAAATCCCTGTCAAAATAAATTTATAATCATCGAACATGTATTGATAGAAAAATCGGATCAACCTAAAATCTAATATATTCTAAAACTGATTATTTTTATAATTTAACATTTTTTTGGTTTGTAAAATCTATGGATCGATATAAAAGTTTGGATCAACCTATAACGTTTTATCAAACTAGGTCATGTAATAACCAAAATTTTTTTTTTGTGTAAAACCAACTTCTTATACATTACATATTCACATAGAATTTCTTAATAATAATTTTAAAATGAATGTCTAAAATACAAAATAATATTGACAAACCTTATCGAGTTCATTTTCTCAAAAATACCATTTGAGTAGCTGGAGATGGTTCAATAATAATAACTACTCATAAATTATCACGTCTCATAAATTTTCCAATCTGTAAAATATGCAATAAAATTAAATCCAAAAATATAGCCAAATTGACAGCATAAAAGCGACCCAAAACAAATTCTGACCAACTTCATGTTAAAGAAGCTCACCAACCGGCTATAAATAACAAAATCTTCAACAAACAAAACCTTTTCGGCTAAATACGGAATTACAACCAACATTACTCCATTTAAGAAATTCCTTTTAAAATCGATTACATCAAATCAAAATCCAAATAAAAGTTAATACAACATCATTATAGAATAATAATAATAATAAACCCTGACACAAACACAGGAAATTGAGAAGTTTTTGCAAGAAGCTTTTTTAACCTCTTATTAAATCAAAAGTACCCAGGTGTAATTAAATAAAACTTTAGGGGTGGATCCTGCCAACTCTAAGAAAGTTCTTCAAGAGGGTACCTGTCTAGGCAATCAAGCCATGGGTTATTGCTTGTAGGCTTCTTTATACGACGAACAGCTTTCCAAACTGCACTGTTGCACTTAAAACCCGACCCGAATGACAGTTGCCAAACCCGGTCGCCCCGTTTCACTCTTCCTTTTGCTTCAAGGTACGCTAGCTCATACCAGATGCTGCTGCTTGATGTGTTCCCAAAACGGTGGAGGGTGGCGCGTGAGGGTTCCACGTTGGCGTTGCTCAGCCCGAGGTTACGTTGGAGCTCGTTCACCACCGTTTTGCTAGCGGCGTGAACGCAGAAGTGCTCGAATGCGAGCTTGTAGTCGGGGATGTAGGGCTTTGTGCCGGAGGAGGTAGGCGGTGACTTCTGTGATCCGTCGAGAGTGACGGATGTAGCGGTGGTTGAACCTTTTGGTTTTGTGCCGGAGAGGTATCTCTTCACGAGAGTTGCGAAGAAAAGGAGTTGCTCTGATAACGGCAACACTAACGGACCCAAGGTGGTGATGTTTGTTTTGAGGGCGTCGCCGCCTATCTCCACCAGATCTTTGCTGATCTTTAGCCCTTTGAACCTTTGTTCGTCTTCCTCTTGATACACACTCCTGTAATTAACGATGAGTAAATAAAGTTGATTTGAAGATGTTAACTTTTAAAGAATTGGAAAAATGGGTACCTGAAATATCGATCATCAGCTCCTTTATGGGTACGAACGATGTGCTCAAGTCTATACTTGGCACGGCGGTAGTCACGGCTGCGGTTGGAAAGAAGAAGGGCGGAGCAACCCATTCTGATGTAACAGTTGGGGATGAGCATAGACCGATCTTTTCCAGGATACCAGTTGTATCCCACCATCTCGGTGCTCACAACCACCGCGACATTGTTCGGGTTCGCCTGAAGCATATCACGCGCCAAATCCACGGCGATAATTCCGGCACTACATCCCATCCCGCCCAAATTGAAACTCAAAATGTTTCCCCTCATTTTATAGTGATTGATGATCATGGCAGACAACGACGGCGTTGGATTAAAGATGCTGCAGTTTACGACTAGTACTCCGACGTCCTTCGGACGGATACGTGTCTTCTTAAAGAGCTCGTCCAGTGCTCCGAATATCACCAACGACGCCTCCGCCCTACCTTCTTTCATGGTGGAGATGTTATCCGGCGACATTATCGCTCTCGGAACGTAGGTTTCATCGCCGATCCCTGAGGATTCAAGTATTTTCTTCTGGAATTCGAGACTAGCTTCATCGAATTTCCCAGATCTTCTAGCTAAATCGATGAATTCCTCCTTCGTCACCTGCAAAATTTCAATAAAAACATTCATACAATTCATACATAACAAAAATACTAAAAAATCTAGTTCAACTAACCTTCAAATCGTCGGTAGGTTTGAAACAAGCGAAATCAATTAGATAGATAGATCTAGGTCGAGACATGAAGTAAACCGAGAGAGTGAAGACGAAGACAGCGAAAAAAGCAAGAACAGTAGCCAAATCATACCCAGCGGTGCTGTCCCAGAGCTTCCGCCATAGCTCCTCCCTACTGAGACTCCCAATCTCAGCGCTAAATACGAGAACAAGCACCGGAACAGTGGCCAAGTAAATAGCATGGTTGATTAGGTAATGATAACCAAGCTTGACATACTTGAGATTCACAGACTGGACAAAATCCGGCAACCGACGACGGACCCTGACAGAGAAAGTGATGGAACCGGCATCAGGACCAGACGACTCTACTCCACGATTAACTATCTCCGTTGACAGGAGATCTTGTTCTCCGGTTGGAGGCATGGTGGGAACTTGGAAGAAGATGAAAAGTGGGAATGGGTATGAACTATGAAGAGGGTGAGTGTGTGTGAATTTAAGGGGCTTGGGAGAGTAAATGAAGGACAACGAACCAAAGAGAGTGTAGTTGGATGTGCATTAAATTGGATGGGAATGGGGGTTTTGGGAAAGTTGTTTGGAGAGGAAACTCATGACTCTGGTTAGTTGCATGCGTATGCATGTACAACTGTTCAAACTCTAACAACAAAGCTTGCGTCTTCCATGGCTGATGGCTCCCACACTCCATGGGAACAGTTACGCTTCTAATTATGCTTCTATACAACACATTTTTTTTCTTCAAAATTTTACGTATGTATTTCTATACGTTTCTCATCAAAATTTTACATATGTATTTCTATACGTTTCCAAGCATTTTCTTACAATACGAACGGATTATGTTAACCATACACCACCTAGCTCCTAGTATCAAGGAAGAGATTAGGTCCTAGTTATGTATTGCATTTTGTTGTATTTTCCTGACTTTCTATCTTTACTACCTTTATTTAGATCCACGACCGCCCTCAGAAGGTGCGGGATATGTGACGCTACCGCCTTGTTCCCGAGTTCTACTTAAGGAGAGAAATGAGAGGATACGGAGGGAAAGTGAGGGGTGGCGAAGGAAAACCGTGTTCCCGAGTTTCATTAATGGAAGGAAACTGAGGAGAGGGGAAGGATTTTGGAGCCATATTTTCCTTTCAAATTTTCCTCCCAAATTGGACGGATTTGGGAAGAAAGTGAGGGGAAGGAAAATTTTAAGTATTATTTTCTTTTTCCTCCTAAGTCGGGAACAAAAAACTTAAAATTTTCCTTTCATTTCCTCCGAACTCGGGAACACGGAATAATAAATATTTTCCTTTACCTCCATTTCTTTCTGTCAAAATTTTCCTTCACTTTCCTTTAATTAATCTGCGAAAAAACTCGGGAACAAGGCGTACAAGATTCATATTGGCAAGGGCCCGAAATTAATTTTCTATCGCAAATTTGTGGCTAATTTATCAAAAATATGTTGTTAATACGCTGTCAATTTGTCGCTAATCCGTTGGAATCAGATGGCGTCTATTACATTTTAGTCCGTGATTATTTGTAAATGAATATTTTATCTGTTAATCCTAACCACTAATATAATAACCGATGGTCTATTAGGTGTTGAATTTTATCGTAGTATTAATGAATTTTGCTTTCATATATATATATATATATATATATATATATATATATATATATATATATATATATATATAGGGTTAGGTTATAATGTTGATTGTAACTATTGTGTGAATGTAAGGCTCTTTTGTGGTACAAGCATTTTTTCTAAATTAAATTATATTTAAAAATGGAAATTATCATATTTCAAAGGATAATTGATTTTTTTTAATTTTAAAAATTATGATTGTTTTTTTAGTTAATTCAAATCGAACATATTTTTTTAATCATAAACGATCTGATTCTGTTAGAATGATAATCTATGAGATTGAAAAATCTTATAAAGAACAATTTTTATTTTGCATTATTGAAGAAAGAGATACCAAATAAACATTATCGAAGTAAAATACACAAACAAAAATAAGAATATGTTGATGACGTATTCTAAAAGATTAAATTTGATCCATTTTAAAAGAATATATATGTTGATGATACATTTTGAAAGCAATAAAACGATGAACATTGTTTATCTTCATCACATACACCATCATCCAGCCTTTAGACTCTTGATCACACACACACATTTTTCTTTATTACCTTCATGTTTGCGATCATAAATTCTTTTAGAATAACTTCCATAATATCAAATTCTGTCAGAATGATATTCTATGAGTTTGAAAAACCTTAGAAAGAACAATTTTTATTTTGCATTCTTGAAGAATGAGATACCAAATAGACACCATCGAAGTAAAATACATAAACAAAAATAAGAATAAGTTGATGATGCATTCTAAAAGATTAAATTTGATCCATTCTAAAAGATTAAATTTGATGCATTCTAAAAGATTAAATTTATCTTCATGTTTGCGATCATAAATTCTTTTAGAATAACTTCCACAATATCAAATTCTGTCAGAATGACTGGCACGAAAATAACAAGTTTTTATCCCCTGATATGCTATTCATGTTCTACTATTCATGACTTTTCATAATCAATACAAAAGAATAAGAGGCATTTTATGAGAAACATGTTTAATAAAAAAAAATAATGTATTCCATTAGAAACTCATAGAATGTTAACATCTCTTGCTTCCAATCATTGGATAAATATTTTCTTCCAACCTGTATATGTTCTACATACATTTTTCAGCTACAACAAAAATTAATCATTAGGAGAACATAAAGATTGACTTTGAGCAAATTGATGATGACTTTTCTTTTTAAGCAACACTTTATGTAAGTTTTATAATTAATACATCACCTCAATAGGAACTATGCGATAGCCTGCAACTTTTTTAAGAATTGTCTATGTTTGCATCCAAGTAAAAACATATTACTTTCTACCTTACAAGTAACATCTACAGAAGATTAGGTGTGTCACGGGTTGGAAGATTGAACTAACTTACTGATTATACTAATATATATTTTGGTTCAAACATTTAATCAAACACTTAGTATGCATAAAAATATCAATTACTTATGTCACAAAATATTAACAATTCCATGAAAAGGTGTGATAGAGGGTAGAAGGGTGCATAAAATCGTCCAAAAAGAAGGACCAGTTATACATGAAACCGGTAACAGCGGTTGAAAAAATAAGACTTGCCTTTGAAATATGTCTACTACACACATGAAACGAAAACTAAACAATACAAAGTAACAAACCATAGATTACAAAAATTGTTAATTAAAAATATGAAATTGTACATACCTTATATAGAATAACAACAGAGTCGACGTCAAGAGGAAAAAGAGAGAAAACGCAGGAGAAGAAATTTAGAATCCATAGAAGAAGAAACGAACTTGAAAGTATAAGTGTAAAGACGGATGGGAGGTTTCATGTCTCACCCATCTCTCCAGCTTCCAGTTATTGTTTGTAAGGACGAGGAACCAGGTAAGAGAAGAAGACAATAGTTCTCTGGGGAAGATAAGAGTGTGTACACGTAAACCGATTGGAGAATATAGGCGGTGGAAAGTGTGGCGATCATGAAGATCTCACAAACCCATAACCGAAGGTGGTTGAGTAAATCTCGATGGAAGCAGGGGGATACGATTTTGTGGGGATGGAAGAGGCAATAGGGTTTTAAATAAAGTAATTTTCCTAAATTAATGGGTAGATGATTTAATTAATTATTTATTAAAATTAAATAATACTTGGCCCATATTAATCTCTACATCCACACAATATTTGTTCATCCACATTTGAACCTACCTCTCTCTCTCTCTCTCTCTATATATATATATATATATATATATATATATATATATATATATATATATATATATATATATATATTATATATATATAGGTGAAGGATCTTTTGAGAACTCATATATTCCCGAGAACTAAACGTGGACCACAAGATCAAATTTTTTAAAGGCTAAGATTTTATATGGTAATCCCGTAATTAATAAAAAACTGAATGGCGTTACGGGTTTCTAACAAAAATCGTAAAGGTAAAGTGGAAATGAGATTATCACACCCGTAAAACTAATAACCCTTCTTTTTCTCCTCTCTCTTACGTACGCCGTCCTCACCCTCTCCCTCCTTTGTCCAGCCACGACGTCTGATCCGTCGGCTTTCCCTCTGTTGGCAACGATAGCATCCTCTCCAGATCTGGAGGATTGTACAACATTCAGATTTGGTGCACGATGCATAAGAATCGATAGATCTACCGATCTCTCGATCTGAATCTCGATCGATCCCACAATATGCTCTAATCCATAACTCACATAGTGGAGATTGACGATCGACCACAACGGATTTTGCAACCGATGTTGCATTCTTTGTTTATCATTTGTAGTGAAAAGATTTGTGATCCTAATTTGAAATTAGAGAAATGGAACACAGGCAATTGTTCATGTCTGAGTTGAGCGTCGAAAGAGGTATGTTGCTAATACATCAGTTTTGATGATTGATTTATCTGATTATGTTTTTTTGTATCTATGAATATTTGATTTGGTGATCTTTGAATTTCTTGTTTTCAATGGCGAAAATCTACCTCAATGGTTAATAATTTGTTTAAAACTGAATTTCCTCGATCTGGTATTGTGAATAATTAGGTTGACTCGAAATTGAAAACCATTATTCTCTAATCCTAATTCTTCCTTATGAGGATTTGATTAATGGCTCTTCTGGAGCATTTGATTTCATAAACTGGTAAAGTACGGAGTTGATCAAGTTTGATTTCATAAATCTACCTCTATGGTTTAGGTTTGTGGGGTACATGATGATCAACAGGAGCTTCCTCACAATTTCAAGAAGCTGCAAAAAGACGTGTATACCCCTGATGTCATGGCAACATCTGACTGCATTTTTGGTCAGTAATAAAAATATATAATTTTTTTTTCTCCTTTTGCATTCCAAACTAATTTGACATAAATTGTTTCAGGAAAAATTGGATATGGAACTTGTAGTGAAGTGTGACAACCCGAAATTTCTATCTTGTAAAGCCATTCAATTCAATCAAGAGTCAGACTTGTTTCTGCTATCTTCTAGCATTGTTAAGGGTCTGTTTGAGTGTTCTAAGCCTAGTACATTCAAGGATCGGGTGTTAGGAAGTATCTACTAGAGTTCATTGTGCAACATTTAAGCCGGAAAACTCCATCACTTGGAGTTTACGGCCGTAAACTAGAGCTTACGGCCGTAAGCTCTTGTTTGGCCGTGAACTAGTCCCTTATGTATGATATTCCTTCATTATTCTTCACTTCTCACACTCCCAACTCAAGAACACTTTATTCTCTCTCAAGTATCATCAAGAACACTTCCATTTCGCGTCAAATTTGTAAGTGATTATTTCTATGTTAGTTGATATCCTTCTTAA